GAATTCGGTGGACTCACTGAAAACAAGTTGAAAGAACGTTATGCAAAAGCATCTTAAAATATTCCACACTTAGGTTTTTTGGGTATTAGGGTAAACTGGCTTAGAGGTGAAGCAGAACGTCTGGTTCATAAAGAACACACAAAGTGTTTCACATAGACCGAAGACATGTGCTGCTTCTTCGCGTGCAGTCTTAGCGGCCCCAGGGGGCTTCAATTCGACCAACACCGGTTCTTCTTCGTTCTCCCTAGTCACGTGATATTACGTCACACAGAGCGCGCGAAAGATAAACCCTTTGAAGGTTTTGCACGAACTAGCATCGGGTTTAAGAAGAAGGGGTTGTGGTTTAATCAGTGTAATGGCTTTCATCAAGACCACGCCTGCGGTACCACGTTCTAGCGTCCACCGGAAGCGATCGCCATTTTTCGATCGCGTTGGATCACGCGTTGTGCAGTGACGAGCGGCTGGTGCAAGATTGGGTGAATGGCAAGTAATCGAATATTGAAGAACTGAAATAAGGTTAATTTTTAGCTTGTCAAGTGTTGTGTATTATTAATATTACTTGTGATTGACAATAATAAGCAATATCACAACGCTCTTCAAATGCATGGATGAATGCATTGGATGAAGACAATTCATATGCAAGACCAATCAATGCAGTAAGTATTTATATGTTGTATAAATGCCCCATAGTTTAAATTATGCATGTGGTATTTAGACAAATCTTCCAAATGAAGATAAATCAGGAATAGAATCAGCTTGCCATTTCGGGGTCAACTGATTTAGGTATAAATTTGGCTGATTTTAATAAACATATGTTCTTGCTGATTAGTGCAATATTTTATCTAGCTGCACTTTATATGTTAAGTGCATTATTTTATTTTTTGAGTAGGCTCATGGTCTCTGAAGTCAATCTAAGTTTTTTACTCCCTGCCTGTTGAATAACGCATCCGCCCGACTCTTCATTCTAGGGGACGAGGCCATCTCCGCTCTGATTGAGGCCCTGGAGTCTGAGGAGAGCGTCCTGGCGCGCGGAGACGTCGACATCGTCGAAAACGCTGACTTAAAGCTGGTGGTGGAAGGAGAAACTGTATGTGATTTGGGAGAATGCGATATCGCCACCCGGCTGCTGACATGGGCGATAGCGCATACATACTGTGTTTGGGAAAACATCCACTTGCTAAAGCTAAAAATGTGTTCCATATTTGTACAGAAAGCAGCCCTGAGCGTGAAGGAATCAACCTGAATAATTAAACATGCCCGAAAGGCTCTGGAGTTCTTTGGCTTGGATGTGTAAGGCAAGTGACACGGCCGAGGGGAAAGCGTTCCTGCAGGCTGATTGCGGGCTGATCGCAGGCTGAATGCGGGCTGGTTGCGGGCTGATCGCATGGGCTGGTTGCGGGCTGGTTGTTCCTGACTGGAGACTTGCAGGCTGATTGCTCAGAGTAAAGAGGAAGGTAATACATTTTAAGGTGTATCAAGCACTGTGTTTGCGCAGCAGATGTGACGGCGCCGGTCGCTAGCCATGCATGGGAGGTTCAATAGACGAATGAACGGGGATTTTGCGGTATTGCAATAGAACCGAAAGGGTTCTACAACCGATATTCAGAACACAGGGTGGTTTCCCTATAAACCTCAGGGACTTCTTCACAGACCCTTTGGGGTTCTTATCTAGGTGCTAAGAACGCTCTTATTATAAACCCTAAACCTCATAAGAGTCTTTGGAAGAATCGTGTGGATTCTTTTGATGAGAATGCAAAGCCGTCTACGTGAAGAACCATGGGGGTTCTGAAAAACGGTGGCATAACATTTTACCCCACAGGGGTCTAAATACCCCTGTACGTTCTTAACGTTCTTCCAAAGTGTTTTCAGTGTGGAACGGGAATCCAGAAGCTCTGGGGGGGGGGGGGGTTCTTTATTAGGGCTTTAGGGTGCACTGACTGCGGTAAGGTCCAAATTATCACACCAAATTTTGCCAAGACATCTACCGGTTCGGGCACTCGAGAATCAGCGGCCAGTGATATCTGCAAAGACGAAGCATTTCCAACCCAGCTTCAACCCAGCAGCAACCCAGCAGCCTGGTGTCAGGGCGCCTCAGGTGGCTTTAATTACAGTTGCACATACCAAACGACCTCAGTGCAGCCAGTCTGTCGCCGAAACTATTCGGAACAGACTTCAACGAAAAGTGAGACAAGGTTGGTGCTATCGTTAAGTGCAATTATAGACTTGGACCCCGTTGGCTTGACCCACTGGAAGGTGGTAGTTATCGGACGCTGCGGGGCATGCTCATTTTTCCAAAATGCCTTAGATTTTGCTTTCGTGTTCGATGCTCTATATTCTTTAGCCAGAGGGGGGCCCACTAATGATCAGTGCCCTAACCCTCAAAAGTTTCCAACGTTATTTTTTACTTATTTAATAGTGAATACTGAAATAAAGCGGATACTGAAGTGTGAACATCCAGTTTTTACACTGGTCCCACACAAGCCTCCGAATGCCCAAAGCAGATCTCTGATGACTGGCCTTTGGGTGTCATACCGTGCATTGGTCAATGTGGTCAATGAGTACGACCTCGGCGTTTACCATGTTACTTGCACTGGAAACTGTTGCGATCGAAAAAAAAAATCAGGGGAGTGGCTAATTACGAGCGCTCATCAGTCCTAAACTACCCGCAAGCGAGTGGCTACTGGCTAGCCCTTCCGTCTCCGCTCGCTTGCGATTTGGCATTCATGTAGGTACAAAATAGCGGCAAACGACCATTGAGGGTGTGAGTTGCGTCTCTTGCACACTTAAAATATCTCTAAATCGAATCTGAAAAGACAAAAAATGCTATAAAGCGGAAATGGTTAGCATTTACACATATTCAAAAGGCACCGTTGGACAAACTGTAGGAACGCATAGCTGCAATATCAGGCTATGGAAATGTTCCTCATGTTTAGGGCACGAATTATGGAGGGGCAAGAATATACGTTTGTCCCTCCTCCCGAAGTTTCTTAGGGAACGATGCCTCCTCTGCCGCTCCGTGTCCGTCGCCACTGTAAGCGGTCACTGAAGGCCTGGGTTGCCGCTGCGTCACGTTGACGCTTATAATGCCTCCAAAACTAGGTTGAAGAGAGGAAAAGTTCAATTGAACGCGAACACTTGTCATGAAAGGCAACGTATGATAAAGTATATGGGCATATGGTTACATCTTCAGATGATCGAACAGAATAATCAGGCCGTATATGTTTCTTGTTTAAGTTTTGTCACAAATTATGGGGGGGGGGGCAAAAAGATACTTTTGCCCCCCCCACGAGTTTGCTAGGGGGGGGGGGGCAGCTGCCCCCCCTGCCCCCCCGAATCCGCCGCCCCTGTATGATGTTGCCCCCATGCATTAGGGTGGGTGTCAAGGTCACCTGAAGGTCAGGTCAGGTCATTGACCTTTGATGACCTCGGTTCACTTTTTCGAGTTTTACATGTTTCTAGGCCAGTTTTTGGAGCTGAATTCGAATTTAGCAACCATATGAACATTAACGAAGTAGTTTTGGTGCCTTCGTAACATGTTACGAAGCTGTCAGAGGCGGTTGCCACCTACTACGAATACCCTTACTGGTTGACCTGACCTGACCTGACCCGACCTGGCCTAAATGCATGAAGACATCATCTGTGATCAAAACTAACATGATATTCGTGATCAGCACCCCGAAAAACCCCATAGCAGCCACACTTTACGACGTTCTAACAGGTCCCGATTTTCCCGACTTTTGGGTCATTAACCTGACCTGCAAGGTCAACCAATGACCTATGACCTTAAAATTGGGTATCATCGGCTTCCTCTCGTCACGGGCAACACGCTCGTTTTTTCCGCGAAGCTCTAGCTCGATCAGGGGCGAAACGGCAAGGGGGGGTCCAACGGACCCCCCTTATACGTTCGCGGCTGGAAAAACACCAACGACGAGACGCTTCAGATGAGTACTTTAAAGTTGAATTTTGAGGTCACAGATCGGGTCAAGGTCAGGTCAAACACCTGAAATCGGGCTTTCAGTAGCATGGACTTCAGGACTTCGCAATGGGCGCCTCTCGTCATAAACTCTGTCAAAACGGTGCACAATCCATCATATAAGGCCTACAAGAGTGTCAGCTCCATGTAGGGGTCACTCAAGCATAGGTCAGGGTCAAGGTCAGGTCAACCGGGTAGGCACATATCCCCGAAAATCAAAACTGATATTTGCAGCCTGTGACACATATTTTATGGGTAATTTGGGGCGTAGAACACGATGATGACATTCATTTTATCATATGTGTACGTGTTTGGCTCAAAAAGTTCAATTTAAGAAATGCATGTATCATGGTCGTGAAGTAGTCACGAGACATTGCCAAGATTCAGTCCAAGATTTTGGAAAATGCGGAACGATAGTCAATAATCGAAGATAGCCATTTGATTGTTCATGGTATCGGCAGTCTAATGGCGTTTTTTGCATGTCTGTATGTCTACTTTGTGATTTTATATGATTTTTTGAACATATGCCGATTTTGGTCGAAAACTCAGAAATCATGACGTCACTAAAACCTCGATATCTCAAAAATTTTCTGACCGATTTTTTGAAACTTTGTCACAATAAACTTCAATCAATTCTCGACAGGTACCCAAAATTTGGCGCGCCTGCGGCGCGCCGTTTTTATGCTATGGCCCGGCGAAAAAAGTGGGGGCGTTTAACGCCCCCCCCCAGCAACTCGCGGGTTAATAGAATGATGGAATATCAGACCTGCAGAGCTGGAAAAAAGGTTGATTTACGTCTCAGCCTGTACCGGTGGTGGTTCGCTGAAAATATAGCGTGCGAGGCTCGGTGGCTGCCTCAATGGAGCTAATCAGGCTCGGTTCAATGAAGCTAATTTCAGTTCACTTGCCAATTTGTAAGCGCTAATACCCAGCTTGTATCTGGGTTCCATCTTCCATGGCGAAGCACCCCTCTCCCCGCCAGCCCAGTGCCAGTCTGTTGAGATTGCCGGTCGACCGCGGAACTCACCTGAATTTTGTCGAGCACGCCGGTCGAGTCCATCCGACTGGCCACGTTGACTGCGTTCCCCCAGATGTCGTACTGGGGTTTCCTGCTGCCGATGACACCGGCCACCACGGGACCGATGTTTAAACCTGCCGAGGAGGGAGACAGTCAACACCTTGCAGCGAACGAGAGGCATTACTGTGATATAAGACAATTATAATCCGGCAAATTAAAAAAAAAAAACACATTAAATTCTGTACTTCACTTTAATGCAATGGGCGAACAGTTGAACGCTGAACAGTTGCACTGCAGAGTAACTTTCGAAACACATAGACCACATCAATTGTCAGTTGTTTTAGCGTATCAATTTATATTAATAGCTTCGTTTTAAATGCACTACGTTTTTTACCTTGCTCCCGGCGGGTAATTAAGAACACTGTACGATTCCGATAAAATCAATTCATCATCAAAGTTCCCGATCGACTGAAGCCGAACAATCAATGGGATGGGAATGTGCTGTTTGTGAGGTATTGCGCTGTAAAGCTGTCACACGCTGCTCGATTGCGACGATAACACTCGAGACAGTAACATCGGTCCACACTTGGATGCATTTTCATCAGCCCCTAGCAAAGAGAACGGCCTACAGTCTCCAGTCAGACCGTTTCACAGTCGCTGTTACTGCCCCACAGTCTCCACTGAGACCGTCCCACGGAGACCGTTCCGCAGTCTCCGCTGAGACCCTCCCACGGTCTCTGCCACCGTGCCGTGTTTTGCCGACACAGCGGTGTGGCCGGCATTGGCTGCAGGCTGACCGACCCGCCGGGGCCGCCGAAACGGGCGCTGCCCCGAGGGTACCGGTCTCCAGACGACTCGAGACCACTCGAGCCTGATTGGGCATTACGGCAGCGGCAGCGGCGCCGGGGCCGGCGGGAGCGGGAGTGGGCGGACAGGAGCGGACACAGTCTTCGGTCGGGCCGTCGGGACCGAGCGTCGCTCTGCTCGTGATTGCTGGGCTTAGGGCCTAACACGCTGAGCTCGGCCTACACCGGGGGGATTCGCCGGGATATAGAGGGTAAATGCAAAGGTTCCGCTCCCAGGTTAATGATGATCGAAGAGTCTCATGCATCCATAATCACTATATGATTATAAATTATGCATTAACGTTTTTTTTGTTGTCCTTTATAGATACAAGATCGTATGATTAATATAATTCGCCTCAATCAATATCATTCTCGTGTTCTCAATGTAGCAAGGATGGGCATTGGAATGCCACTAGGTCTAGCGCATAGAAGCGCTGTTTTTGGGCCAGTCCACGTTCAGTGCCGGTGAATCCTGGAATCGGGCGCTTGTCCAAGCGATGCCGGGGCATGTGATCCGCCGCTAACAGTCTCATCATCAGCCGGCCGACAGCCGCCGACGCTCTGTGACGTCATCGAACTGGCGGAACAAGGCCCAACTTGGCAGCGTGTTAAACTCGGCGGCGGAATTTCACCGACCAAATGGAGCAGCATGACCATGAGCCACGGCCCTAATTCTGAGGTCGAGTTTAATCTGGAAGATGGAGAGATTTGGCAACAGTGCAGAGAAACCGAAATGGTCCATATGGGGTGCGTTCGGAGAGGCAGATTCCCGGGGAATATTCCACGCCGGCATGAAATTTCCGCCGAATGTGCCGTTCGGAGAGCGATTCCCGGGGAAAGTTCCGCGGAACGGACGCGGAAAGCGCGGAATCTAAAAAGCATCTCACGCGTCGTTCCCGTCAAGATGGCGGCGCCCATCGGTATGCTCGAGTGAGTATATTATTGAATATAAATGGACATTTCTTGCGTTTGTTTCCACCCTGATCAGTTTTATTGCAAATCCAACAATTGATAATGCTTACTCAGTTGCGGAAGCAATGAAAACGAAAATTTGAAGTGTTGTGTTGTGTGTGTTTGGGGTGGGGGGGGGAGGGGGCACAGTACAGATGGGACTTTTTGAAAATAATTGTGATTTTTCTTAGTTGTTCTTTCTTCAAGAGCTTCATTCTTATTACATCTTGCCATAGATGTAGCGTTCTAAATAACCAAATAACCCAAATAACCCAAACAAAATCCCACGAACTCAACTTGGCGCAGTAGCGGCGATCCTTGAAATTGGCGATATGGAATGTCCGTCTCCGAACGCAACAAGGGGAATTTTCACGATGACGGGGAATATTCCGCGCTCTCCGAACGCACCCATGGTCTGACCTCTAGTCGGAAATGTTAAACTTTGCCGTGGCAGATTCCAAATAAACGCCTCCATAAGGGAGTAGTCTTATTGTGTGACAATGGCACGTTTTATCAGTCCATATCGGCATAATATTTCGATTTTACTGGATTTTACTGTCAATTTCGTAAGACTGTTTCAATACATCTGCCAGGACGACAGCAGAAATCACTCTTGACTAATGAAAATATCGACAGGGGTATTTACCGTCCCCAGAAAGATTGATATAAGCTGATCTCGCATTTTTATAGCACTACATAAGAAAGTAGTGTGAGATGTCTCTTGCATATTTAATGAGACTAGTCAATGAAATGAGACACAAGTCTCTGTATTTTTTATTCAAATGGAGTGACATTTTGTAGATGTACGAGATGATTTAGGTGAATCATTCAAGCATTTGTAGCCTAAGGCGAAATCTGTCAAGCATCCCCACAAGAAAAAGCGGATCACGTTCCATAAACCCTCGGATATGCACATCACTCACCAACGCGAATTTTGAAATTGTTGAAGGAATGTTCGTTGACGTAGGCGAGTTGTTCCCGTAACCTCAGGGCGTAGTCGGCCATGGCTGTGACGTGCCGGAAGTTCTTCAGGTCGCACGTGGCCTCGGTCAAACCTGAAAACGAACAATAGATAATATGTTGATAAAACCAGCGTCTCTCACCTATAAGCATGTCATCGGGCGTCAATCAAAAATTTGCATTTCATTGAGAGCTGCCTCATGTTAAAACATTGCCAAAAATGCATTGGCTTGAGAGGTGTAGCACCTAAACCTATGTCACCTAGTCGTTGTATTTAGGAACTGAACTGCAAAACACGCCACCATTCCACTAGAAACAATCGGAAAGAGAGGCTCTTGAATCGAAGTTAAGGCTGAAATGGTCAGGCAAAGTGCCTTTATTTCTTGGTGATAGCCAAACAGTGACTATTTAACGAGACTCGATAACAGAGCCCCGTGATTTGAGACCTAACGAGTGACTGAAGAGACAGCCCGACTCGGAAATGGCTCCAAGAATATACCACTGAACGGCGCCTGAAGAATTTATGTCCATGCCAAGCTATTGCACTGTCGTTTCTAGATAATACAATATATCAGCATTAGCTTATGATGCAACCACTTCTTAAAATCACTTCACTTCTTTAACTCACATATGAACCTACAATCATACTTTCATCATCTAGCAACTGATGCATTTTTAGTAGGTCATTGTCTCCTAGTGTCTCCGGGGAACCGAAACGTTTTCTCACCCGACGCCGCCATGTAGGTGGACCCTGTCGATTTGATTTTCTCCACGTATCTGAAGCGCTCCTCTCCGAGCAGTTCGTCGAAGTCGGCGATGATTTCGTTCAGCAGGCGCAGACACTCGACACCCTCGTTGTTGCCCTCGAGCTCGACATAGAACTCGGAGAAGTTGGGGATGGAGGCGAACATGATGCAGACCGAGTCGCACTGCTGGTGGTACAGCTCCTGTCGGTGACAGCGGACACAGGGGAGGGGTGAAAATGTGACAGGTGACACAGGTGACATGTGAGAGAGATGAATGGTGGTCACAAGAGTGACTGTGGAGTTGGACCTGTGGTCAGTGATGAATGATGTGTGACAGCGTGATTACTTAACAGCATTATATTGTTTCTTTAAGTCATAATTTGGAAATATTCGCCATTTAGTTGCATGCTTCACATTTACTCTGTGTTTCTCTCTTTCTCATCTACATTTACTGCGGCAATAATAACTCACGTCTCCCTTTTCGCCGGACATGAAGTAGTCTGCCACGTGCACCGGTAGGATGTTGGCCAGCAGTTTCCGGTTGTAGGCCTGCAGATGCTCCATCTCCTCCTTCTCCTCTGTCGGCGTCACAGCAGATGACGTGCATTTGTCAGACGGCATGCGACGTCAGAAACACGACGCTATCGTAGCATATATCGTAACACCATGGCTGGTAGGTTATACTGTCGGTCCATGGCAATAACCGTAAAATTATACAAAGAAATAATGAAATAACTCTCCCAGATTCACCAAGAAATTTCCTTTGCTAGCATCAAGCCTAAAAACATGGGTTGCGATTAAATCATTCCGATGTAGTAACTTCCCACAAATTAGCTTGAGCCAACAACTCTTAGTAGCTGGAAGAGATGTGCTACTGATGCAAAGTTATCGCCAATATAAAGCACAAGGAAGATGCCCTTGTGTCAATGATAAGACACATATTTCGTTTCCAGCTGAGCGCACCGGTGGCCTGCAGTTTCCAGAGGAAGTCGAGCCGCGACGTGGCCTCCGTCTGCCGGCCGTGTACCACCAGTGACGACAGAAACGTGCCCATTATGATGATGGTGACGTAGCGGGCCGACGTCACCGCGTCACTGTCGCCCAAGCTGGAGGGAGGAAGAGGGAGTGTCACGTCAAGTTGGAAAAGGAACCGCGAACGGAACACAAATATGTTTTAATGACGGGTCCGGTGATAAAAAGTTACGATCGGTGCGGCTGACATCAAAATGGAAAATATGCAAAAGAAGCAAACTAAGAGAAGAAAGAAAAGTGTGATACCATTTCTGATCCTCCTCTCCCATCCCCTTCCCTCCTCCCGAGCTCCCCTCCCCTCCCCTCCCCTCCCCTCCCCTCCCCGTCCGTACCCTGCCAGTGTAGCGCTGTACAGCGCCGGCCGGTACAGCAGCACCACGGCCAAGTAGGAGGCGCAGATAACCAGCAGGGTGCACATCTTCAGCAGCGAGGTCACCTGCTGGAACACTGCGCACGAGATCATGGCCAGGATGACGCTGAACGTGACGAACTGAAACAGAACCGGCGCCGGCGCCGTGTCAGACGCAGTCGAGCTTAGCATGGGGTGTGGAAACTGGGCGCATTAGAGCGTCTTTTGTTACATTTGATTATTTATTGATTGGTGGCATCTGATTTCTAATCCCAATGTTCATCCGACAGCGCAGTTCGTTAGTAACCCGCCTGTGAACCAATGAGTTTTTTATCGTTCGACTCATCAGCTGTGTCAGACACTAACCGAGCTACCAGTCCGAATCTTTTGGGACATGGGACGAATCGAATAGATTGTTGCGCTCTCTGAATCACCTTCCGTCATGGTCGAGTAACAAGAAACGTGTGATCAAATGATGTAACGGAAGTTAGCAGGGATTCAGCAGGGGTTCAGCAGGGATTCAGCAGGGATCGACGGCCCCTACGATTTCGCTGAATTTTGGTGGAGAGGTGCAGAATGGTGTCCTCTATCGAAAATCCTAGTGCCAAAATGCGGGGAATCCATCAGGGGGGCCACAAATCCCAAAAAACAGTATGCCCTCAGGGCACAATCGACGAACTTTGAAAACCCTACTTCTAGCCGTCAAAACAGCTAAAAATGCACGTCATTCGAAAGAGGATAAAATTTTACGTACAACGGTACCAAATTTAGGGGGCTAGCGCCCCCCTGAACCGAACAAAACAGCTTCAAATATATGGGCCCGGGAGTATGCCCTCGGGGCATAAATAAACGTTTTCAACAATTTCAGGCCTATAACATCGACAAAATCCAGCAATATGCACATCATTGGAAAGAACGTAATTTCCCAAACAAAAAACCCAAGTAACATTTTTCGATGGGGCCCACCTGGGGCCCACAGGACCCAATTGAAATTTGGGGCCCAATGGGGCGGCCCCTACGATTTTCTTCAAAATTGGCACAGACACTCTCCTGGGCCCTCTCTTTAATCTGGCTGAAGAAACCTACCGGGGAATCCAAAGGAAGGGGCCCAAAGAGGGCCCCAAAGAGGCCCTTTCTAAGTATTGCCCCTAATTTCGCGACCAACCCCGGCAATATGCACATCATTAGAAAGAGCGTAATTTCCCAAACAAAAAACCCAAGTAACATTTTTCGATGGGGCCCACCTGGGGCCCACAGGACCCAATTGAAATTTGGGGCCCAATGGGGCGGCCCCTACGATTTTCTTCAAAATTGGCACAGACACTCTCCTGGGCCCCTCTTCAATCTGGCTGAAGAAACCTACCGGGGAATCCAAAGGAAGGGGCCCAAAGAGGGCCCCAAAGAGACCCTTTCTAAGTATTGCCCCTAATTTCGCAACCAACCCCGGCAATATGCACATCATTGGAAAGAGCGTAATTTCCCAAACAAAAAACCCAAGTAACATTTTTCGATGGGGCCCACCTGGGGCCCACAGGACCCAATTGAAATTTGGGGCCAAATGGGGCAGCCCCTACGATTTTCTTCAAAATTGGCACAGACACTCTCCTGGGCCCCCTCTTTAATCTGGCTGAAGAAACCTACCGGGGAATCCAAAGGAAGGGGCCCAAAGAGGGCCCCAAAGAGGCCCTTTCTAAGTATTGCCCCTAATTTCGCGACCAACCCCGGCAATATGCACATCATTGGAAAGAACGTAATTTCCCAAACAAAAAACCCAAGTAACATTTTTCGATGGGGCCCACCTGGGGCCCACAGGACCCAATTGAAATTTGGGGCCCAATAGGGCGGCCCCTACGATTTTCTTCAAAATTGGCACAGACACTCTCCTGGGCCCCCTCTTCAATCTGGCTGAAGAAACCTACCGGGGAATCCAAAGGAAGGGGCCCAAAGAGGGCCCCAAAGAGGCCCTTTCTAAGTATTGCCCCTAATTTCGCGACCAACCCCGGCAATATGCACATCATTGGAAAGACCGTAATTTCCCAAACAAAAAACCCAAGTAACATTTTTCGATGGGGCCCACCTGGGGCCCACAGGACCCAATTGAAATTTGGGGCCCAATGGGGCGGCCCCTACGATTTTCTTCAAAATTGGCACAGACACTCTCCTGGGCCCCCTCTTTAATCTGGCTAAAGAAACCTAAAGGGGAATCCAAAGGAAGGGGCCCAAAGAGGGCCCCAAAGAGGCGCTTTCTAAGTATTGCCCCTAATTTCGCGACCAACCCCGGCAATATGCACATCATTGGAAAGAACGTAATTTCCCAAACAAAAAACCCAAGTAACATTTTTCGATGGGGCCCACCTGGGGCCCACAGGACCCAATGGAAATTTGGGGCCCAATGGGGCGGCCCCTACGATTTTCTTCAAAATTGGCACAGACACTCTCCTGGGCCCCCTCTTCAATTTGGCTGAAGAAACCTACCGGGGAATCCAAAGGAAGGGGCCCAAAGAGGGCCCCAAAGAGGCCCTTTCTAAGTATTGCCCCTAATTTCGCGACCAACCCCGGCAATATGCACATCATTGGAAAAAGCGCAATTTCCCAAACAAAAAACCCAAGTAACATTTTTCGATGGGGCCCACCTGGGGCCCACAGGACCCAATTGAAATTTGGGGCCCAATGGGGCGGCCCCTACGATTTTCTTCAAAATTGGCACAGACACTCTCCTGGGCCCCCTCTTAATTCTGGCTGAAGAAACCTACCGGGGAATCCAAAGGAAGGGGCCCAAAGAGGGCCCCAAAGAGGCCCTTTCTAAGTATTGCCCCTAATTTCGCGACCAACCCCGGCAATATGCACATCATTGGAAAGAGCGTAATTTCCCAAACAAAAAAAGCAATTAACATTTTTCGATGGGGCCCACCTGGGGCCCACAGGACCCAATTGAAATTTGGGGCCCAATGGGGCGGCCCCTACCCCAGTAAACATGCCGACGTCAGCCCGACGTCGGGCCGAGGCTCGGCCCGACGTCGGCCCAACGTCGGTTCAACCTCGGCCCGACATCGGCTGGACGTCGGATATGCCCGCATGTTCCGACGTCCAGCCGAAGTCCAGCCGACGTCGAGCCGACGTCGGGCCGAGGTCGTTTGACGAGGTTGACGAGATCGTTTGTCGTTGGACCGACGGGGCCGACGTCGGCATGTTTATTGGGACAACGCGCCAAAAATATCAACCGGCGGCGGGATTCGAGCCCCCCAGTCGCCGACGTCGGCATGTTTACTGGGACAACACGCCAAAAGCATCATCCGGCGATGGGATTCGAACCCCGTGTCATTTGAACGCGAGGTTAGTGCGCTAACCACTACACCACGCAGCCAGATAACGAACGCAGTTTGTTTTGTTGGATTATGCCCTTTCGGTCTGACAAGACCATTTCAGAGCCGGAAGGATGATAGGATGGAGACATTGGTCTTCTTGGCAAGCACCCTGGGTCCAGTTCATATAGAGTCCCTGGTCCCATTGCTGTTACGTGACACTTTTATTGGAAAGGGCGACCCCACAATGGATTCATATAGCCACTCTTACACACCTGCACCAACGTTTCCCAAAGTGTCCCTTTGATAAGTGGCACTTTGGCAAAGTGACACTTGCCGACTGGCCTTTCTATATGAACTGGGCCCGGCCCTGGTGAGTTGCCGGGACTGAGCCTGACCAAAGGATAGGCCGAGCAGCCCCCAAGCACTCACCGCACCCGGCTACGGGCGAGCTCGGCTTACGGGCAATCCCAAATGGGATAAAGTTTCCCGTCCAGTCCGGATCAGGGGGATGCGGCATGGAAGAAGATTTGAGTTTCCTGAGGATATTTTGAATACAGAAGCTCTTTATGAAACATGAAACATGTATTTTATATTATTTTAACGGTCAAAACAGCGGCCGATGTCGGTCCGACGTCGCCCCGACGTCGGCCCGACGTCGGCTGGACCTCAGCGATCTCGGTCCGACGTCGGCCCGACGTCGGCTGGACCTCGGCTGGACGTCGGAACATGCGGGCATATCCGACATCCAGCCGACGTCGTGCCGAGGTTGGACCGACGTCGGACCTACGTCGGCATGCCGATGCCGAGTTGCCGACGTCACCCCGACGTCGGCCGACGTCGGGCCGACGTCGGCATGTTTACTGGGTACGATTTTCTTCAAAATTGGCACAGACACTCTCCTGGGCCCCCTCTTTAATCTGGCTGAAGAAACCTACCGAAGAATCCAAAGGAAGGGGCCCAAAGAGGGCCCCAAAGAGGCCCTTTCTAAGTATTGCCCCTAATTTCGCGACCAACCCCGGCAATATGCACATCATTGGAAAGAGCGTAATTTCCCAAACAAAAAACCCAAGTAACATTTTTCGATGGGGCCCACCTGCGGCCCACAGGACCCAATTGAAATTTGGAGCCCAATGGGGCGGCCTTGGGGAGCCCAAGAGGGGGCCCAGGAGAGTGTCTGTGCCAATTTTGAAGAAAATCGTAGGGGCCGCCCCATTGGGCCCCAAATTTCCATTGGGTCCTGTGGGCCCCAGGTGGGCCCCATCGAAAAATGTTACTTGGGTTTTTTGTTTGGGAAATTACGCTCTTTCCAATGATGTGCATATTGCCGGGGTTGGTCGCGAAATTAGGGGCAATACTTAGAAAGGGCCTCTTTGGGGCCCTCTTTGGGCCCCTTCCTTTGGATTCCCCGGTAGGTTTCTTCAGCCAGATTGAAGAGGGGGCCCAGGAGAGTGTCTGTGCCAATTTTGAAGAAAATCGTAGGGGCCGCCCCATTGGGCCCCAAATTTCAATTGGGTCCTGTGGGCCCCAGGTGGGCCCCATCGAAAAATGTTACTTGGGTTTTTTGTTTGGGAAATTACGCTCTTTCCAATGATGTGCATATTGCCGGGGTTGGTCGCGAAATTAGGGGCAATACTTAGAAAGGGCCTCTTTGGGGCCCTCTTTGGGCCCCTTCCTTTGGATTCCCCGGTAGGTTTCTTCAGCCAGATTGAAGAAGGGGCCCAGGAGAGTGTCTGTGCCAATTTTGAAGAAAATCGTAGGGGCCGCCCCATTGGGCCCCAAATTTCAATTGGGTCCTGTGGGCCCCAGGTGGGCCCCATCGAAAAATGTTACTTGGGTTTTTTGTTTGGGAAATTACGCTCTTTCCAATGATGTGCATATTGCCGGGGTTGGTCGCGAAATTAGGGGCAATACTTAGAAAGGGCCCCGTTGGGGCCCTCTTTGGGCCCCTTCTTTTGGATTCCCCGGTAGGTTTCTTCAGCCAGATTGAAGAGGGGGCCCAGGAGAGTGTCTGTGCCAATTTTGAAGAAAATCGTAGGGGCCGCCCCATTGGGCCCCAAATTTCAATTGGGTCCTGTGGGCCCCAGGTGGGCCCCATCGAAAAATGTTACTTGGGTTTTTTGTTTGGGAAATTACGCTCTTTCCAATGATGTGCATATTGCCGGGGTTGGTCGCGAAATTAGGGACAATACTTAGAAAGGGCCTCTTTGGGGCCCTCTTTGGGCCCCTTCCTTTGGATTCCCCGGTAGTTTTCTTCAGCCAGATTGAAGAGGGGGCCCAGGAGAGTGTCTGTGCCAATTTTGAAGAAAATCGTAGGGGCCGCCCCATTGGGCCCCAAATTTCAATTGGGTCCTGTGGGCCCCAGGTGGGCCCCATCGAAAAATGTTACTTGGGTTTTTTGTTTGGGAAATTACGCTCTTTCCAATGATGTGCATATTGCCGGGGTTGGTCGCGAAATTAGGGGCAATACTTAGAAAGGGCCTCTTTGGGGCCCTCTTTGGGCCCCTTCCTTTGGATTCCCCGGTAGGTTTCTTCAGCCAGATTGAAGAGGGGGCCCAGGAGAGTGTCTGTGCCAATTTTGAAGAAAATCGTAGGGGCCGCCCCATTGGGCCCCAAATTTCAATTGGGTCCTGTGGGCCCCAGGTGGGCCCCATCGAAAATGTTACTTAGGTTTTTTGTTTGGGAAATTACGCTTTTTCCAATGATGTGCATATTGCCGGGGTTGGTCGCGAAATTAGGGGCAATACTTAGAAAGGGCCCCTTTGGGGCCCTCTTTGGGCCCCTTCTTTTGGATTCCCCGGTAGGTTTCTTCAGCCAGATTGAAGAGGGGGCCCAGGAGAGTGTCTGTGCCAATTTTGAAGAAAATCGTAGGGGCCGCCCCATTGGGCCCCAAATTTCAATTGGGTCCTGTGGGCCCCAGGTGGGCCCCATCGAAAAATGTTACTTGGGTTTTTTGTTTGGGAAATTACGCTCTTTCCAATGATGTGCATATTGCCGGGGTTGGTCGCGAAATTAGGGACAATACTTAGAAAGGGCCTCTTTGGGGCCCTCTTTGGGCCCCTTCTTTTGGATTCCTCGGTAGGTTTCTTCAGCCAGATTAAAGAGGGGGCCCAGGAGAGTGTCTGTGCCAATTTTGAAGAAAATCGTAGGGGCCGCCCCATTGGGCCCCAAATTTCAATTGGGTCCTGTGGGCCCCAGGTGGGCCCCATCGAAAAATGTTACTTGGGTTTTTTGTTTGGGAAATTACGCTCTTTCCAATGATGTGCATATTGGTGGATTTTGTCGATGTTATAGGCCTGAAATTGTTGAAAACGTTTATTTATGCCCCGAGGGCATACTCCCGGGCCCATATATTTGAAGCTGTTTTGTTCGGTTCAGGGGGGCGCTAGCCCCCTAAGTTTGGTACCGTTGTACGTAAAATTTTGTCCTCTTTCGAATGACGTGCATTTTTAGCTGTTTTGACGGCTAGAAGTAGGGTTTTCAAAGTTCGTCGATTGTGCCCTGAGGGCATACTGTTTTTTGGGATTTGTGGCCCCCCTGATGGATTCCCCGCATTTTGGCACTAGGATTTTCGATAGAGGACACCATTCTGCACCTCTCCACCAAAATTCAGCGAAATCGTAGGGGCCGTCGATCCCTGCTGAATCCCTGCTGAACCCCTGCTGAATCCCTGCTAACTTCCGTTACATGATCAAATGTTATGGTGTAAATGTGCGCAGTAAAACAAGAGCTAAGAGGGCATAAGGCCCTTCCCTGGCTTACAGAGCCTTCATCATTCATCAGAGTCTTTGCAGTACTTACTTAATTGATGCATATCTATCAGTAAGTCCACGTGCTATGGATATTGGATATGCATGCTAAGCAATAGGGTGCTGAGAAAATTGTGTGTTTGATTTGGACAGCGGCGAAATACCTACGAATCAGATAAAACAATTCTGCGATCGTCGCCGTCTGCTGCAGCCTGTCGGTCATGCATGAAGCAATTAACATTGATCCCTCGCATGTCGCAGTTCAATATTTGGGCTGTTACGCATAAGCGGAGCAGTAGCTCGATCTGCTGCCAATAGACGGCACTAGTGGTGAGCGCCTGAACGTATGCTGTACCGCATGCCCTGAAACTGGCCCCGCCGTGATAGCGTGAATTCTACGCAAATAAAAAAGCGGCCTAGCGCACGGCTAGGTATATAAGCACGCGGATAAGCATCCAATGACAAACACTGAATCAACTAGCCACTAAGCAGGCCGTGAGATACTCTGAGTACTATCTGATCATATTTTGGAATTTCTCTGTGACGTAAGTATCGTTAGTCATTTTAACTTGCCGATCGACAACCGCCGTTCAATATCAGGTGTGTTTGAGTAACTCCCCAACTGAGCCTAAGAGGTCGCCAACTAATTTCCGAACTGACTCCTTGTAACGCCGAACAACGCTGGGCTTGAGCATCAGCATTAGAGTTCAAATAACTCATTAAATATCGTCGATGTGCAGGCGAATGGGATTTCACCGTTGAGCAGCGACCGGCGCTCGTATATCAGACGTGACTCGCATGATGTGCCGGGGATTCTGTCCTCGTGAATCCCTCCATTCAAAAAATTCGGACTAAATTTATAAAAGAAAAATGTCGTACCAAACGCGACGTCCTGATGTGGCCTTCCGTTGGACGACTAGTCTTGTTTCATTTTTCAGATGTCCTATGCAGTTTTATTTGGAAAAAGGACATATTAGCACAAACACTGAAGGGTTTGCTTAGAAGTTAAAACATTTTGAAGTACATAAATTATAATCATAATAGCTTTCATCCCTCTTCAACATGATCAGAATCCTCCGCAGAGAGTTGACATAATTATAGGCTTATTTTGCCAACCAATACATCTAGGGTGGCAGCTTACAGACGTCCATGATCCGCCATATTCGCTAAACGTGAAGAACACAAGAAAAGAAACCTTTTGTTGATGAACGTCCAATGGAGTGAAGGCCAGATATGCATTGATGTGCCGAGTCCTATGAAGTGCTGCTCAAATCATTGACAACCAAAATCTCAAAAATTAAAATAGAAGCGGTTGTAGTAATGGACTTCGCTTATTACTATTAATGATTTTCACATTTTTCATCCATTTCATCAACGTGTTCCAGTTATCGGCTCGCAGCAACTAGTCAACCTACAAAGTGATGTTCGACTATCGCTTCGCCTCACTGCGCCACTCGCATACGAGAGCCGCTCCCCGGCTGCCGATCACGTGACCGGCGGGTGGCCACGTGACCCAGTCGCCCGGGGCCATTGTTCGGACAGCGGCCCTCGGTCGCTGCGTGGCTCCCAACAGCGCCCTGACACATTATTGATGAGATTCGCGGAGATGTAGAGTGTGCTTACATTTCAGCGAACAGAAACGCAATGCAAGCGAGCGAGCCTGGATTCACGGAAACCGGCCCCATTGTCGAAACAGGCCTGGATTGCAATGGACCCCATTCAGAAGCGCATCCGTAAAACTGTTCAGTGATCCGCTTTCAGGGTTTGCTGACACATGCATAAAAATCTTATTCTTGCGCGGACGGTCGTCAAGTTAGATGTAAGCGAATCCTAATCTATAATCTAAGATTCGGAATCAGGTGAGCCCCTACGATTTGGACCAAACTTGGTCAGTGGATAGTACGTAATGTCCTGATTACGATGCACCCAAAATCTAAGCTCGGCCCGCCATATTTACGAAGTTACGGATGTTTGAATTTCAAGGTCATTCGGGAGAGCCCCTGCGATTTCCGTCAAAATTTGTGTACGGACACTCTAGATGCTCCTCATTACGAATATCACAAAATTTAAGCTCGGCCCGCCATATTTACGAAGTTACGGAGGTTTGAATTTCAAGGTCATTTGGGTGAGCCCCTGCGATTTCTGTCAAAATTGGTATACGGACATATTACATCCTCCTCATTACAAATATCATAAAAGTTAAGCTCGGCCCGCCATATTTTTCAAGTTACGGAGTCACAAAGTTACGGAATTTCAAGGTCATTTGGAGAGCCCCTCCGATTTTCGTCAAAATTTGTATGCGAACACATTACATGCTCCTCATTACGAATATCATAAAAATTAGGCTCGGCCCGCTCTATTTCAAAAGTTATTGAGGTTTGAATTTCAGTGAGTTTCAAACCTCATTAACTTTTGAAATAGTGCGGGCCGAGCTTAGCTTTTACGATATTCGTAATGAGGAGCATGTAATGTGTCCGCATACAAATTTTGACGAAAATCGGAGGGGCTCTCCAAATGAACTTAAAATTCCGTACCTTTGTGACTCCGTAACTTGAAAAATATGGCGGGCCGAGCTTAACTTTTATGATATTTGTAATGAGGAGGATGTAATATGTCCGTATACCAATTTTGACGCAAATCGCAGGGGCTCACCCAAATGACCTTGAAATTCAAACCTCCGTAACTTCGTAAATATGGCGGGCCGAGCTTAAATTTTGTGATATTCGTAATGAGGAGCATCTAGAGTGTCCGTACACAAATTTTGACGGAAATCGTAGGGGCTCTCCCGAATGACCTTGAAATTTAAACATCTGTAGCTTCGTAAATATGGCGGGCCGGGCTTAGATTTTGGGTGCATCGTAATCAGGACGTTACGTACTATCCACTGACCAAGTTTGGTCCAAATCGTAGGGGCTCACCTGATTCCGAATCTTAGATTATAGATTAGGATTCACTTACATCTAACTTGACGACCGTCCGCATTAGGCATCTCGCTACAGATGGCCGTGTTGTGCGGTGATGGTGTTGCATATCTTGTGTTGTTCTCAACATATGCCGTGGTGCTGCAGACTTACCTCGGGGAAATAAATCTTGGATGCCGGCAGACAGTCGGTCGGGACGGCGCTTTGGCTGGTAGATCCGGTGACGTCATTGGACCGTGCCGTGACGTCACTGGTCCGACCGAGGTCGTCCAAGATCACCGCCGACAGGTTGAGCATGGGGTTGTACTTGGTGGTTACGTTGGAACAGAACTTCAATGAACTCGAGTCGAAGACACACTGCCGGAAATGCAATAATTCAATCGAAAGATGCACTAACAAGTATATACAAGCAAACAAACTTAACTGTAAGTAAACAAGCATACACATTACACAGGTCTGCAGCGACTAACTTTCACCAGCACCTATGGAAACATTAAAACAAATCTGCAAATACCACTTAAATCATTTACAGATAGACTATATCGCGAACTGGGTCACGCATTTCCAAGAGATGTTAGCTAATTATCGGCCTATTTAGTGCCAACTTTGGCCAGACATGGCGGAAGCATAAAACCAAGGCAAACATCAACTTATGGCGGCAGACTGCGGCATCAACGTCGGAAAACTGGCCGCGCTGGCTAATTTCGGCGGCCGAACGCAAGTTGTCGGCTGTTTCGCTAAAAAGAACACGAGAATCTCATCAAGCGCCCTGTTTATCAAACAACGAAAGCCAGCCTATTAGCATATGTCAACGGAAGCGAAATAGAATCGGACGACGACCGAAAATGAAAAGCTTTAGAGATCGGTTGTATCATCGGAACCAAACATAACTTCAAGCTCTAGTAGTAATGCACACATATAGACTCACCACGGGCACTGGGCACTGGGCAGTATTGCACACAGATCTACTCACCACGGGCAGTATTGCACACAGATAGACGGTGAAGACGACGAGCACGGACAGGCCCTGGGTGAGCACCCGCCGGTTCACCAGCTGGCCCGAGAGACGGCGCAGCAGCGACGGGCAGCACTGAAACACACCGCGGGAGCAGCTCTGTCACACAGTGCTCGGATTTCTGCAGGGTTCCGATTACATTGGGTAAGAAATTGTAGTATTATTTTTAGTTTTTACACTACAGTTTACAGCAAAATTAAGTGAACCTTGAGTTTTTTCTGGTCAGAAATCATCTAGCTTTTGACCGGATTTAATATAACATTTTATGCAAAACAAGAAATGCGATGTGAGCATTCACAAATCACAAAGTAAAGAAAAACTAAACTAAACATCACTTTCCTTATATCATGCCTCGGATCCTTGGAAAGAACAGTCGATAAATGAATGCGATATATCTGATAAAACTTTTGGCCTTCCCAACAGCTAGCCATTAGGATGGTGATTGTTCTACATCCATCTAATTCACGTCACCCAATAACAACATTCCCAGAGATATCATTGCTGCCGCAGATGCATTACGCTGGTGTTTACCCGTCGGTGATTGATGCCGTATAGCGTAAGGCGTCGGTAAATACTAATATTTGGATTCTTCTCTAAACATCCATTACGATACTTAACGGTCAACGCAAGAGCTCATGAAGGTGGAAATAATATTGTGTCGGTTCCGTAAGCTTTACTGAACACGGACAAAGAACGAAGCAAGAAAAAAAACTGCTTGCATTATCAGCGAGCGTCCGCATCCATTTATGAGCCAGCGCTGATGTTAATTTTAGTTCGTAAGCTTCCATCAGTGTCGGAATATATTATTGCTCCCAATGGGGCCGAGTAGTGGTAATAGTTAATGGTGCATGATGGCGGATGCGGTGAGTCAGTGGTTTTGGTGGCAATAACTTAGTTGCAAACAGTACGTCAATGCAATGCCATTTAAGTTTTAGTTGCAAACCTATCCAGACTTCTTTTGAATGGAGGTACTATGCGGGCTGTATACCAAAAAGGACAGTCGGCATCCCTCATTGCATTTCAATGGTGAAGCAGCCCAAACAATTGCATCGCGTCGTCCCCGAGTGCGTCCCGTTCCTCTCCCAGACACGCACACTGTCGACGGCTGCGAATTGGAAGGGGAGCCCACAGCCGCCGCTGGTCCGATCCATCAGACTCGCCGGCGGTAAACGGGAAAACGTGCGGCGTCGAGAGCGGCGTCCGCCCGTCGTCGAGCGTCGTCCGTTCGCCGCCACTCTCCAGTAAGGCTCGCGCCCAGCGCCCCACCACAGTCCAAAGCTGCTTCAGGAAGACTAGATCCACCACTGTCCCACGCTACTTTTATATATATAGGGAGACAAAAACTACCGCACTCCCTAACTATGCCAGGGTATGGTTCACATTGAAGGATTCTTGCAATACTGTGTTATTCTTGCACGTAAGGGAAAATATTTTTTTTTTAACTAAATTTCATTGAAATATGCCTTTCTTTTGCTCCAGTGAACCACTCACTATTTTTTTTTATGAAAACCAGCACAACATAAGGATATAACAAAATTTGAAAATATACTGACGTAGAATGAATAATTTGTGCATCAGGGATGCTCACACAATCAATGCATGTCAGACGTATACATGGTAAACGTGTGTCAATGCGAGCAATATCCACCAATGGACACTGCTTCCGACATAGGTCAACGAGCTCGGGCGGGGGTCACGTTCGTGAATGAACGAGCTCGGCAGAGGTCACGTTCGTGCGCCGAGCGAACCCGGAAGGAGGTGTGATTGTGCGGTCACGTCCGACCGGGTCGTCTGTGCGTCAGGGGGGGGGGGTAGCTCCGCGGCGCGGCGCGTGGCTCGGCGGTGACCTCCCTGACCGCTGTGAGTGCGTAGGCAGACACCCAATTGTGACCCGAACGCTGCCATTACCTATAAGAAATCCCCCTTTAGAATGTCCTGTCCATGCGTAAGATGTCGATTAAATCTTTAATAATACCTTTGAAAGCCATTTGTCCCAAATCACACTGAGCAAACAATCTCTCCTCCATCTGCTCGTATCTTCTCCTCTCTCTCTCTCTCTCTCTCTCTCTCTCTCTCTCTCTCTCTCTCTCTCTCTCTCTCTCTCTCCTTCTCTCTCCTCGCGCCACACCTAAATTCATGGACGTATGAAACGCAGGGCATTTTAATTGTTTTACAACTGAGTTTTTCCTGACATCGCTTAACACAGCATTGGCAAAAAAAAACTAAGTGGAAACATCAGGCCTTTTCAGCATCGCAAGCTGGATGGTCAGAATAGCACGTGATCTCCAATGGCAGTGCGGTCATTGAGGACACCGGATCTTCAGAATGGAGGAACCATGCTCACTGCAATGGCGGCTATTACACGATCCTCGGAGGGCCCACCGCCCGCCGTTTCCGTAACTGCTGCCAGGTCACGGCTGCAATGACGTGACTGTGACTTTAGCGGCTCCTCTAGAGACCGCAAGGGTCCCTGTGAGGAGACCGCGGGGTCCCTATGGGTAGACCGCTGCAAGGTCCCTGTGAGGAGACCGCCAGGGTCCATATGGGGAGACCGCTGCAAGGGTCCCTGTGAGGAGACCACTGCAAGGGTCCCTGTGAGGAGACCACTGCAAGGGTCCCTGCGAGGAGACCGCCAATCTGAGATCCCTATCTGAGAGGATCACCAGGGCTCCCGAGACTCTCTACATAGAAGAGTCTCTACATGTCTTCGCTACATAGAAGCCACAAGACCCTCTATCGGACGCTGTCTGCGTCTGTTGTATGTGTACCTTGTGTATAAAGCGATTCTGTGGGTCCATCAAATCATAGTGCCTACCTAATATTGTACCACAATTGAGAATGAACGGTCTGGAAATTACACATGAGTGGCGTTGTCTATACCATTCACGGTAATGTAATATCAGCTTCCAATCAGAAATCTGATCAGTTCGGAGTAACGGGGGCTGTGCGGGACTGCCGACTGACAAATGATACACATTTGCTGACTTTTTACAGCGTAGATACATACAGCAAATTCCTTCTCCGTAAATTGTATGGAAAGCGTCTACCAAGCATAAGAAAACCACACACGCTGACATCATCAAATACGGATAGACGAGACTAAACAGGGACTGCACCACGGCCAGCAGGCATGTTGACCTCTTACAGGCCGATTAGCATTAGTTACGTAAGGACCGACGATCAGTCTTCGCGTGTTCATTTTCTCACAAAGCGCACTGCGTAGATGGTTACTCGTCTACAGGAGGAATAGTGTAGCGGATGTTCGGATGAAATTAACAAAGGCAATTATCATACTGATAAGTGGTATGTAATGGCATTGCTTCAGTCACTGCACAAGCAACATTTGATGACTCATCCCCAATCTGCACCGGATTTTCCGTCCACGGCAAATGTGTATAAGATGTCTACAAATACAACGATTCTTGAATATATCACAGTTATGTAACGGAAAAGCGCTAACTGCTGATGAAAGTCACGGACGACTGGGCGTTGTATCACGACAAAGGCTCGTCATCTCGGTCCCCATTGACACATCGCCACTGCCTCTGGATAAATCAGCGGCCATTTGCGGAGCTCATCCCCAGCGGAAACTCGGCGGCGGCTAGCAACAGCCAGCGTCAATGGAGGCTGAGCCCGACGATTCCGTTGTTTGCATAGACCTGCACTGAATTCATAAATGCGAGTCTTGGAATGTCTGAGCATTGACAGAAGCGTCGTCCGGAGGCGACCTTGATTCGTATAGGCACAGCGATTTCATCCTGATGATGTACATAATGAACGGTGTCTAGATTTCGCTCGCTGGGCATGCGGCTAAGAGGCAAAGCCTCTTTTAATATACGGCACACTGTCACGTAATTCCTAACCACCATCGATCTCTTGGGCATTGGGTGGAACAATGTACTACATAAATTCAGCTCAAAGATTTGTAAAGAACGGATTGACGGAACCAGAGAGCGCTTAGGAGAGCATGTTTTGACAGCCTTGGCGTTTACTATCCGATCATGAAAATCCGGTTTGTAGGAATTATTTATGCAGATTAGGGTGGTCCACATTTATATGGTAAAAAATAAAGTTCGTCAGATTCATCGGGCCGGGTCGGAATTCTTGTCGATACTATAGCACAAGCTTCTGTGCAAAATTTCATTAAGATCGGATGATTTTTTCCCGTCCCGCAAAGCGGTCAAAGTTTCCATTATACGTACCAGTCTTTAGTATTGGGAGAATATTCGTCTTTCAACATTGCCCAGTCGTGCCAGCGGCTATCTACCAATGAGCTTGCCTGCTCATCGCACCAGTCCTCTCTAGCCTTCTCAATGATAGATCTAGTCTTCCTATCAGCCACAGACAGGAACGATAATCCACAATTCCTGTTGCAGTTCCTGTTCTCCAGTGCCAGGCCCAGTGCAAGCCACTATACATGCCAGGAGGTGCGATATGCATTACGCTAATTGTGGCTTTGCCTGCGTTTGGGATCGCCGCTGTAGCTGCAAGAGGCACACGCTCAATCACCGAAATGTGGCTTGTTTTGGCAGCCAGAAAAAGCAAATCCTTGCTGGATGAAACAGCCTCTTACGAACGAGCAAGTGCAGGGCGCCTCTTTCACTTGGCACTCACCATCCGTCTTCCGGCCCCGTGCTCCCGAGATCCCGTCGTTCAAGCGGTTTGTAAAGTGGTGGCAGCTCACGGAACGAGTGTCGTTCAAACCGCTCAATTACTTAACCGATTTCGCCGACAAGATGATTGTCACCTGATGCGCGTTGCTGATGAAGCAGCGGCCCCGGGATGACTGCCGCGATGTGGTGCAGTTCACCATCGTCGTGATGGACTGTGATTTTGACGCCAGCATCCGGAACCGGGGAACCGGTTGCCTTACAACGTGGCCGTTGGATTGCAAAGGTGATGAACACACTCAAGATCATTCTCTTCTGCCAGCTCGCGCTCACCGAGCACGAGAGGAGGACGATGGTCCGGTTCACCACCTTAATCGTCACAAGGGTAGCATCGTGACTGTCTGCCCATTGATCGACCTCAGCATGGGGAACTGACATCGCCCTCCCCAAAGGCCCTCGCCGCTT